AAAACATTTCAACCCCGTCCACAGGTTTCCTCGGTAAACGGTTCAATATGATGGTTCAAAATGACAAATTATTGAACCGATGACGTCATTTTCACGTCATCGGTTCAATATGACAGTTCAGCCGCTGGTTATGGTGAATTATGCGTGTGGTTTTACCCAATCAGAAACGGGGAAATATTTTGAATGAATAATTATATCTGTTGTTTTAGTGACGTATCATTACATGTACTAGTTTAACTTTACAAGGGAGTAATGTTAAAGTAACAGACTTGTCATTTTGGATTTTTTTTCAATCCGAGACGCAGTTAAGACTGCTAAACTGGCTCGTTCATAATTCGTCAGTTCAAATTGAGTAACCTTGACCGTGCAGACCATGAGATCTGCATAGGCGGTCACGTCTCAAGGTAATGTAGATAAGAATTTACTTCTTCAGACAAGCTCCTCTGTTAAAAAAAATTCTTAGACACTTTCCAGATTTGCTTTGTCAAGTTCATTTGTGGGATGTAAACAGGAGGTTCGTTTTATCTGTTCTATAAGTGAGTGACCTTCAACCGTGATAATCTCTTCTTTTTCCGTTTCGTACGTCCCAGCTTCTTGTCCAACAATATACTGCCCAAGTGTTATATGAAACGTTACAAACAACAAAAATGAACTTCGAAAAACTGTTAGGCTAACAAGTTTTCAAAAACCCACAATTTCAATCCGCTTTAACCTTCTTCAAGTTTGTCCATCCGTGCCTACTTTTGTATTTGCTGTGCTAATAATATATTCTTTAAATGTTTTGTGCGATTATTTTCATGTTTCCCTCAATTTGGTGGCAGTTTATATTGTTAGAATTTTCATAAAATTCGTGAAACAACTCCTTTAACAATTGAGTCATAATCTAGAGATCTAGACTTTTGGTTAGCGCGCTTAACAACACGAAATACCGCTTTTAGGTTTGGAGCTATCCAATTCCCCGTTTAGTAAGATTGTTGGTCTTCCGGAACATTTCAAACTTTCATTAACAGCAGGCTAAAACACTGTTATGATTTGCTTCATGATCCCCAAGCTTAAGAATATATACCTACAAGAATAAATTCCATTTTTACCTTAGAAATCTCCCGTAACAAACATCTTTGTATCACAGGGCAGGGTATTAGTCCATTACCAAGGATGGTCCGATTGTTCATGGCTTCTTCCTATGTCTGTTACAGGTTTCGAAAATGACACTGCGCTCCGAAACCAAAAATCAGTTGATGGGTTCAGAAACGAAAAGTGTTCTGAATCACTTCACGTATTTTAGGTTTCAGTTTGTCTAATTGCTAACTACAAATACATTTTATAGTCAATCGAATTAAATGACAGAACTATGCTGGTCTATACTGTCCTTTCCCCAGATTAAGTCTCATCACTGCGTCGTTTCTGGGTAGTTATACAAAAACACAATCGCAAGCATTTTTCATTTGTTGAAAAGACAATTGTTTCTCCATATGAATACCGTATAAGTTATAGCAGATGATGATGTTAAAATTAACCATGAAAATAATAAAAAAAACTCTCTCGAGAGCAAAATCTCTTTTCATGCAGTTTTTTGGTTTGTTAACAGGATTAGTCGATAGCGTATATGCAATAAAAAGATTTCCATCGAACTATGCTTTGCTTGTGGGGGTAAGGTGTTCACAATTGTGAAAAGTCAGTTGATACAAAGATACCCTTAATCTTACAAACGAAAAATGCGAAATACCGGTACACTAGAAAACGAAGGATCTTGTGTAAGTATACTGATTAACCAATTCAGTCAAAATTGTATGTACTTTCTTAATCGTCTGTGGTAGACTTCCGAGAGAAACGTTGCGTCCCCTCTGCTATTTCTTAAAACATAGAAAATTTCAAAGAAAACATACAGACTCCTTATCATGTTACTATTTGAAAATGACATATGAGCGATCTATTGTGTTTTTGGATCCTTATCGTGTAATCAAGTTTCATGTATTGAAAAACATCCGGACGTGCACTGCCTCCTGCGTTTTATATAAACTTACATTCCTGATATTCCTGTTACTGCCTATTTTCAAGGGATATTTGATACATTACAGTTGTAGTTTTGAGGTCATAGAAACCGAAACAACCCTTGAGTAAAAATTGAATGACCTTGTACTTTTCAAGCAATGAAACAAGGAAATTCAATAAAGATTAAGGATGATCGTTTCTTCCGAGCCTGTGTGATCCCATTTTTTGGCCGGGTTATTTTGTTTTGCGCATGCGTAAAATACACGTTAACGCGTCCACTCAGCATTTTAAATATACATAGTACGACGTACTCAGTGAAAAGCCTTGTTGCCCTCCACTGCTTTAGCTATTAAGAGGTGCAAACGATATTTATTCACACATAAGAAAAATACTTCGTCCAATTATAACTGCGATCGATGCTGTTTCACATGTGACAAAAATAGTTGGTCCAATGAGAACTGCGATCGATGTTGTTTCACGTGTTAGAAAAGTAAGATGGTAATAAGATGGTATGATCGAATGTCACTAGACAGAAATAACGTATTACGAAACCCTAGTGTCTTCCCGCTTCGCTTCAGGCTCAGGTCTCTAAACACAGTTATGTATCCCGGACCAGTATACGATTCTGGCAAATTACAACCCTGGTCAAACCTCTTGGAACACTAACGCAATAGCTCGTCAAAACGACGCATTTTCTCTTCCCCTCCCTCAACAGTCAACACTACTTAAGGGAAAGGGGGACTCGGGAAAAAGGCTCTTATAGCAACATTCCCATGCGTCGTCGAGCCTAATTTCCTAAGTGTCCCAAGATGTCTATTTTTACTCGGTTAACTCGAATTCGGATAGCTCAAATTCCCCGCTAACTTGTACTAAATTTTCTTTCTCTTGATCACAAGTCACTGAAAATTACCCCAATAACTCGGCGAATTCTGGTTCTTGTAACTCTACTCGGATGCCATTCCATTAGCTCGTCTTGTTGAATAATGAGTAAAAAACACTAAATCTAACTCTGGTTAACACTTACAGCAATTTGATTTTAATCGCAGCGAACAGATCACGTTTTATCACAAAAAAATGCCTAATCATGTTACCGTTTCTGATAAAATAAGTTAAACTTACACTGCAGTAGCACACTGCTGGAGGTGCTGAATAATCAGTAACTATCAATTTTTAAGGTGGCTCGACTGGATTTTTTCGCGGGGATACCTCCTGAGTATGAGCATTAAATACGTTGGCATGAGTAAAGATATGGGAAAAGGGTTACCAAAGATGAGTAAAAAACGTAATGGCGTCATTACGTTGCCATGGTGACTTCGATTGCAATAAAACCCAGATCATAAGAAATTTTCTTCTTTATGTGATACAGTTGTGGTAACCCTTTCCCCATATCTTTACGCATGAAGACGTAGTTAATGCTCAAACTTGGGAGGTATCCCCCCTAAAAAATCCAGTCAAGCCGCCTTAACACTGAAAATTGAATTTTGCAATCGACCCCGATAACCGGAACCTTCGCTAACTCGAACTGTTTTTTGAGTTTTTGGTTACCGGGGTTCTAGTGTATTACGAAAGTTAATCATTAAAAATTCTTGTTACTACACGGGTAAAGAGAAAAAATTCTGAGCTTTCTTTCTCCTAGATCCTTGTTCGTAGTAGAATGAACACGTCATATAATTAGTGACCTGGCATGGCTCAGATCACTGGAAGGTTGTATCTACCCTTCTTCTCTCTTCAGGAATAGCCTCATGTACAGAATAACCATTCTTACCGTTGATTGTAAGAGAGTGGCTAATTAGATCTATCTTATTTCATCCTCTTACTACTGCGGCTCTGCAGCCTTTACCTACAAACTAAGGATCAACTTTCTCTATATACTCTCCAGTCTGAATTTTTGAGAGATTTATGATCACGTCTCCAGCAGAAATGGTGAATTTGTTCCACGTGGTCAAAATTTAATTGTTTTGATCAAGTTTAATTATCGTCTACTTTTCATTATATATATTAACTATTTTCGAATCCCTCGCAATACACTCTCTTTGCCCCCAAATTTTGCAAAAGTTATTATTTCGAATTGTCTTGGGAATATTCAGTCATCCAGGAACATTTCAAAACAATAACTTAAGCACATTTATTACTATTTCCTTTTTTTTTCGTTGAGGGACAGAACTTGTAGAGAGAATAGACAGCAATGTAAACAATTAGGCATTCATTTTTCCGAGATGTATGTTGTCGTTCAATTTTATCATTGGTTTAAACTTTTATTTTCCCTTGTTTTGGGGTATGGTAATGTATGATAATGAGTTTGAAATAAAGGAAAATAAAATTATTGTTTATTTTATGTTATTAGATTCGCCAATTATTGGCAGGGTCACCTCAACAGCATGACGCCAATTACTGCTGGCCTGTAACTGTCCCTCCCTCTATGAGAGATAGACCACCACACCGGGGACTACGTCCCCTGTTCTTTACGAACAGTGTATGGGTTCTATAACGTCCCACATAATTTATATATACAAGGTCTACGGGGCCTACGGTTTATCGTCCTTATCCGAGAAGACTAGAAAGTCTAACCGTTTGCAGATGTCTTTAAAAAAGGCAGCACTTTCTCCTCAGTTATTTAAAGAAACTAAATGTGGGTCCGGCCGGGACTTAATTGAACCAGCGGTCTCCCGCTCGGCAGACCGGCGCTTATCCAACTGAGCTAACCGGGCGGCGGTCAGCCAAATTTAAACCAAGGATAAAATTGAGCCACAACATGTACATTCCTTGCTAACATTAGACTTTAACTTTAAAGTTGTTAAAACCCTAAAGTGCGAACCGGAGTTGATCATTGATACTTACTGGGGCACGGGAGAGTTGATCGAGCCCAGGGGTGACAGCAGATCAAGAATCAAAGCTTAAGACATCTGTCACTGATGTAATCTCTGTTTTTTTAAATACAGTTGGTATCTTTCCTACATCTTCAAAAAGATGGGTACTACTCAGTGGTCCTGAGTATTTTTCATTAAAAGTCACTCTTTCTCAGGTGACCTCGCCGGAAGTACTTCTGGGTTCGAGAATGCTTCGTTTATTGTACTGAATCGAACTAATTCCTGCCCAGATCTTGCCAAATCATTAACAGCATTCTGTTCCTCTGACCTGCGATCGCACGAGCACAGTAAAAATAAGCTGGCTAATCCACCTCTAAACTCCTTGGAGAAGATATAATACAGAAGGGCGTTAAAAAGTGGGTTGAAGTATGTCCAGACATTTCCAGCTCTGAATGCCAGCTCCAGCTTAACACCTGCGCTTGGGGACGAAGGTGGTTTTGCGAACACAAAATAAAGAAAGAAACCATGATAAGGACTCCAAAATATAATGACGCTCAGGATCATGCTTATTAGTAACTTGCGAATTTTTTCTCTTGTTTCCTCGTTGACGGCGCTGACATTAAACGCCGCGTTGCGTTTGAGCGACAAGACCATCCTTGTGTTCACTGTTATAATAATCGTGAGCGGAATTATGTGCAAGACGAGTGCAAGTAGGATAGCAAAGGTCTTTGTGACTGTAACTTTGCAAAATCCAATAGGTATTGAGATAGCTAAGGTGATTATCCATATCAATACTAAAGACGAGAATTTCAGCTTCCTTAAAAGGTCAGCGCTTGAAAACTGTGCGCTTATCGGCGAGCATACGACATACCAACGTTCCACGCTTAACGCCGCCAAGCAAAACATGGAAATAGCGTAGGCCGCAAAGCGTACGCCGATTATAGGTCTGTATAACGTGCAGAATGTCTCTTTTAACGTTACTTCACCAAGTGTGTTCTCCGTCGCATGTCCTGCAATATTGAATGCGGAAAAAAGAAAATCTGCAACAGCTACGTTAAGAAGGAAGAGATGGGGCATACTACGCATTTTCTTGTTGGACATGATTGTCAAGACAATCAAAAGATTGCCGAGGAACGCCGCCGAGAGAGTGGTAAACTCCACGATAGTAAAAATCGGATTGAGACTGTTCCTTAAAGACGAAAGAGACAAGAAACTTTCAGGAGGTGGAGGTGCGAGGCATGGAACATTTCCTGGTACGTTAGAACAGTTGGTTGTTGATGTTAAAGTGAGATTTGATGACATGCTGTAGTGGTTTTTGACTCTTGAGTGTAGAGACTGGTGCTTGTTAATGCGTTCCTCGTGAAGTGATTCAGACGGACTGAAAGATGCGAGAACCAAGTAAATATGTTGTTCAGTCACTTTATCAGAATTATTGACAACGTATTTGGTTCGCTCCTGTTATACGTTGTGCACAGATTTTTCGATTACTTTCCAAAATAAAGTCAGCAGCATGGCTTCTTCTAGAAGTGAAAAAAAGGGCAGCAAAGGATTGACTAAAACATCTCCTAACCAAGTCAGATAACTTTAACACTCAATTAAGGAAAGATCTTAAAAGAAGACGGATGTCCTAATCAGTTTTAGCTGTGGATCATTGCAAGGCCAATAGAAGGGCTGTTTAAATATTAAGAACGGCAAAATCTGCATATAAATAACTAAAAACACTCAATTTTACTGTTTTGAAATGAAAACATGCTTGCTGAAACGAAGGTGACAAGACCTGGCAACCAAACTGGCAAGTAATTGCTTGGTACAGTACCAAGTAAAAACGAAAGCAATTAAACATGTGGCCATACTCGATTTGATTTATTCACTCAGTTTCCTTAATTTTGTACTATTAGCGGTGAGTCCCGTTAAAGAACGTAAAAAATTCTTTGTTTGGCAGAATATTTAACTGTCGTTAACAAATTTATCAAAGCTGTTTCCTCTATATGGAAGGCCAGTGAAGAAAGATGAACAGGCCGGTTTCGGACACAGAATTCTGATTTTTTACTACTTACCGAAGAATATCAGCATTTTTTGGAATGCTATAAAAATTGAAACTATCCTCAAACTCGTTCGCAACAAATTATCGCCCCAAGAAATGTGGACTTTTTTTGGAAGATACTCTATGTCCCACATAGGGACTGGTTCCATGTGGTTATTATTAAAGTGCGCGAGGCGAAACATCGGTAAATGAAATTCAAACAAGAAACAAAGTTTTGAAATTTTAACTGACCTATTTGTTTAATATGCATATTTTCAGCAGATTGGATAAGCCATTAAAAGATTTTCTACAAGTAAAATTTATCTTGTTTTCGTTGTATTTCTGGCTAAGCTAGAAATTTCCAATTACCAATTTCCAGTAACTAATTACTGATTTCCTCAAATATATTGTAAACATCTATTGTTTTCGCTAATTGAAAAAAGTATGTTTTTGCCAATTATAACCACAACAACGGGTTTAAATTGGGTGAAAAATACGAGAACTCTTTTTGTGCGAACACGGATTTCAAAATGTGCCAAGCAACTTAAATATAACGAGAAATTAATTTACCATTCGCTAATTCAACTTAAATTGAAATAGGAAAACGTAGGCCACAGTAAATTAGCGGCAGACGATTTTCACTAGAAATTTAATTTTTTTCTCTCTCTCTCTCTCGTTTTTGGTTAAGGGCCTCTAAAAAGATTTTTTGTCATGCATATGATGGGGAAAAAAGAAAAAAGACCCGTTTTTACAAAGGTTTTGGTAGTTCCTCGAAACCCTCCTGTACTTCTCAGTTTAATGGTGCCTTCAAAGAAGTAGTAGAAGAAGAAAAAACATCATATTGAAGGGTCATGCAACATAAAGAATCAAAGTTATGATTTTGAAGAGATTTGTACGACTAGCTGTTGCTGACTCAAGACTCAAGAGCACACCTAAAGAACTCGCGCTATACGTTCAATGATAGATAAAATATAAGGGGTGTAGCCAAGATCTTTCCAGAGGTACGTACAATTTTCTACATGTATGTTATTCAAGATTTAGTTTACCAATAAATCACGTCGCTTCTCTGGAGACCCATCTTCGGGTGTAAAAAAAGTCTGATGTTTCAGAAAAAATATAGATATTTAAAAGGCACGAACAGGATTAAATGATTTGAGAAAAAATGTACTTTTTAAAAATTTTTTTCTTATTCGCTTTTTGATATTACTGAGCCCCGGTTTTTCGCCCACGGCCCCCTTTTTTTTCCTTTTTTCCCCAATGCAGAGCCTGGTCCCAGGCTAGCATGAATGCAGATTATGTACTTTAATGTAGAGATGGGAGGTAGAAATGTTCAACAAGAGGCCTAAATAAAAATGTAGCCATTTTATTACCACACTGGCCAATCGACGGTTTGTAGAAGGCAACAGGAAATATAAACTGTTGTTACTTAAAAAATGAACGCCAACTTCGTTTTTCAGTGCGTTCGTGTATGCAAGACAAACTTGCTTTCAAAGCAAAATGGGAAATTATCCCTCGCCTTAAAAACAATTAAAAAGACTGAGCACAGAGCTCGCCTCCTCCAGCTGAGAGGCTTTGTCAATTGCCTCAGTCACGCCAACGCTAAAACAATTAACAAAAACTGAAGTTTTCTTCAAAACTAGCAACAGTTACTCTTTCGGCTCGTTACTTTTGTCACAGTATGTTGGTGTGAACGAGATAACAATTCCAACGTCAGTGAGCTAACCTGATGTGAATAATCCTACGCCATATTCACAGCAACAAAACATGTGCAGTTAAAACAAGTTGAGGGTTTACCTCGGTGTAAAAACCTGTGAAGTTTTTCTTTGTTTTCTAGCTATTATTTTCCTTGGTTCTATGGTGTTGACTTCTCGGTGGCTTCTTTGTATTAATTGTTCTACGTCACGCGTGAGTTTCACAGCTTTTTACACCAAGGATGAGCCCAAGTTGAGCCCTTTCACACCTGGATTAAGCCAGGATAAACGTAACGCACACAACCTTTGAAGGAAGGAAAAAAAAAATTTCAATATCATATTTGCAAATTAGTCCCGAATTGTAAGGAGTGTAAGATTCAAGAAAATGAGGATTAATTTTGTGAGACCATATGGCTTACGTAGCTCCAACTTGTACGTTGGTTGTATTACATGTGAAGTCACGAAACGTAAGTGAGCAACTTAGAAACTAAAAAAAATCATTTTTAAACGGAGTCCAACTAAGCAGTTTTTAAGCTTGTTTTAGCTTTGGCGTGAGTAGGTCACTAGTACAACTACCACGGCAGGGGCTCGCAAACAGTTTCTTTACTGGCGGGTAACATAATCATTCCTTTTCACAGTAAAGACATTAATTACCTCTTAAATGACTGGTAATTACTGCAGCACTTTCAAGTTAAAAGACAGATCACTGTAAAGCAATTTCTATAATATTGTATCTGCCATACGGCAGATGGAAGGAGATTTTTTAAGTTTAAGAAGTTTAAAAAGAAAACGTATGATAATTTATAACAGCCTACTCCATAAATAACCCAAATGTTAGGTTTCTGTACACAGTTTTTCACTTGTCTGAGAGTTGACCGTTTCCTATTCGCCACTAAACCCTTTATGTCCCAAGAGTGACTGACCAACATGAATTTTCTCCTAACCACATTGATACATATTCAAGAGAAAAGGCTATAAGAATTAATCAAATGATCACCAATGGGAAAATGCTTTGATCTTTGAACAAATTCTCCCCGTTAATTCCGTGAGAAAATGTATGGAGATCAGTTTGGAGAATCTGGATGTGGATATTGGGGCGTAGAGGGTTAAGATGCGAGAAGGAAACTGAGCCGAGTTAACTTCGCAAAGACTTCTGGGACAGTCACGATGGACAAAAAAAAAACTTGGCCAATAGCTGACCGGCGCGTCCCCAGTAACAATCCTAGACACAATTGCGGGACACATTTTGGCTCCAGTTCCATTCTCGTTTCTAAAGTGGCGTATTAACAAAGTAAAACAATCGCCCGAGAACAAGTGATCGATCTAATATCGTCCTCCTCTCCAGCCTTGTCCACGGCCACGGTTCCGTCCTCGGAAGCCTCCTCGACCTCTGTTTCCCTCGGGCATGCTCTGACCTTTGAGTACGCCGTTTGAGGCGCCTGAGCGTCGTCCTGGCGGCGTGTACACTGAGATGGTGTTTGACTTTGATTTTTTAGCTGATTTGGTTTCAGGCGGAAGGTCAAACTTGATTGGAGTGATGCCAGCTCGCTTTCGTCTGCAAAACAACAACAAAGAGAGATATACAATAAGTTACAGATTAGCTACTTGATGAATTCGAACCACTCTGGTAATAAAGGGAAAAAAACTTGTTTCCTCGTTGACGGCGCTGACATTAAACGCCGCGTTGCGTTTGAGCGACAAGACCATCCTTGTGTTCACTGTTATAATAATCGTGAGCGGAATTATGTGCAAGACGAGTGCAAGTAGGATAGCAAAAGTCTTTGTGACTGTAACTTCGCAAAATCCAATAGGTATTGAGATAGCCAAGGTGATTATCCATATCAGTGCTAAAGACGAGAATTTCAGCTTCCTTAAAAGTCCAGCTCTAGAAAACTGCGCGCTTATCGGCGAGCATACGACATACCAACGTTCCACGCTTAACGCCGCCAAACAAAACATGGAAATAGCGTAGGCCGCAAAGCGTACACCGATTATAGGTCTGTATAACGTGCAGAATGTCTCTTTTAACGTTACTTCATCAAGTGTGTTCTCCGTCGCATGTCCTGCAATATTCAATGCGGAAAAAAGAAAATCTGCAACAGCTACGTTAAGAAGGAAGAGATGAACCATACTACGCATTTTCTTGTTGGACATGATTGTCAAGACAATCAAAAGATTGCCGAGGAACGCCGCCGAGAGGGTTGTAAACTCCACGATAGTAAAAATCGGATTGAGACTTGTCCTTAAAGACAAAAGAGACAAGAAACTTTCAGGAGGTGGAGGTGCGAGGCATGGAACATTTCCTGGTACGTTAGAACAGTTGGCTGTTGTTGTTAAAGCGAGATTTGATGACATCGTGCAGTGGGTACTCTTAAGTGCAGAGACTGATGCTTGAGAATGAGTTCCTCGTGATGTGATTCAGACAGACTAAAGAATGCGAGAACCAAGTAAATATGTTGTTCAGTCACTATATCCGAATTATTAACAACGTATTTGGTTCGCTCCTGTTATAGGCTGTGCACAGATTTTTCGATTAGTTTCCAAAATGGAGTCAGCAGCAAGGCTTCTTCAAGAAGTGAAAAAAAGGG